GAACGTCCCAGGGAGATGGGGTTTAGGCAGAGGGAGCACCTTGGCCTGGTGCCGTAGACTGGGAGGGTGTGTGACTTCTCATTTCACGGCGACTATGCGGCCGTGTGGGGTGGGGCCGCAGGGGAGATGAGGTGGAAGACGGAGGGTTGTGTAGATCAGGCTGAGGTACTGGCTCTTCTGTGGGAAGTGCCTCCCTGCGAGGTCGGGATGACGATCCCATTGGTAAGAGGAGAGCCTGGGTTTTCCAGGAGATGCAGAGGCGAGAGTCGGACCAGCAGTTAGCGTAATGTAGTCGACCGCAGTTCGCGTCCCGGACCCGGTGGCTTAAAACTCATGCCGGGTGCATGTGCGTGCGTGCCCAAGATCCTGAGATGAGAATGGAGGAGGAGGGATTGCGGCGTGGCCATCCCCCCACTTTCTGTATCTCTCTCTCTCTGTCTGTCTGGTGAGCGCTTGCAAAAAAAAAAAAAAAAAAAACTCTCAAAAAAAAGAGGCAAGAGTAGTCAGGCTGGAGCCTGGAGAGAGGGGCTGGCTCCCTCCTGGACTTTCCCTTCTGGCAGTTTTGTCTGGTACGGACTGCTCTCTCCACACGCTGAGCTGAGCCCTGCTCTTCAGAGCCAAGGACGAACTCCGGGCCACTCGGTCCTTGCAGTCTGCCTGTCGCCCCCTCCCCACAGTGTCCCTCTTGCACCCCCAGCTCCGCCGTCTGCCCCTGGGCCACAGAGGGCCTTGCTTATGCGCCCCCTCCTGTCTGGCTCGAGCTACCAGACTCCGTGTACAGCAGGCCCAGGGCCCTGGGAAGTGCTCACTACAACTTCATCATCTTTTAAACAGTTGTCGACGTTTAACAATCAAGAGAGGTCCTATTGGCATCCAGTTCTGTTTTTTCCAAAACCTGAACTGGCCGGGGAGGTGGCACGTGCTGTCAGCAATTGGCAGGGCCCCGGCGGAGCTGCAGCTTTGGAGAGGCGGCCTTGCCGACAGGCTCTGAGCGTGTGTCCACCCAGCCGCGTGGTAGAGCCTATGCTGTCCTCATGCCTCTTGCCACCGTGTCCTCCGCCTGCCCAGCCTCTGTAGGCGGCCGAGCTGGAGACGTGGCGTACCGCCTCAGGTCTCCAGACCATTGCGCTGTGTCCCTCTGTTCACATTGCGCTGTGTCCCTCTGTTCACATTGCGCTGTGTCCCCCTGTTCACATTGTGCTGTGTCCCTCTGTTCACATTGCGCTGTGTCCCTCTGTTCACATTGTGCTGTGTCCCTCTGTTCACACGTCTGTTTCTGCAGCTGGGCTGGAGCTCCTGAAGGCAGGACGCGTGTCTTCTCCGCCCTCTGACCCCTCGAGCTCAGCAGAGAACCTGGCTGTAGGTGTCTGAGTTAGCCTGTGCTGAGGGACCCTGCCTGCGAGGCCCACAGTGGCCTGCCGGGCTGGCGCACTGGCCTGAAGGCTGTGGATGCTGAGCCAGGCAGGATGGGCTGAGGGTCTGTGCAGCTGTCACACCCCTGCGGCATGCAGTGCTCGACATGCTCCGCACTCACTGCCTTCCTGCATTTCAGGACGTTCCAGGACCTGTCCAAACAAGTGGAGATGTCTTACGGCACCGTGCGAGATTCCGCTGTGTATGAGTACTTCCGGGCCAAGGGCACCAACCCCCTGGAGCAGGACAGCACGTTTGCTGAGCTCTGGCGGACCATCAGCAAGAACGGAGGGGCTGACAACTGCGTGTCTGGTCCTTCAGAAGGCATCAGGAAGGTAGGCGGGCGCGAGCCTGGGCAGGCGTGCAGTGCAGGGCTGTGTACCCCTGAGCTAGGGGGCACCTTCCCAGATGCACCTGACATTGGCCAGCCCTGTCACCTGTGGGTGACCTATGCTGCGTGTTTCTTAGCAGACTTGGGCAAGGGCTGCTTGAGAGGCGCCTTTGCATGTCTTGGGGCTGGGATGAGCAGGCAGAGTAACCCGAGCCTTGAACCTCCCTCCCCATGGGCTCACGGGGCATGCAGCAGGGCCGTGAAAGCAAAAACAGCTTCCCAGATGACATATGGAGGGACAGGGAGAGGGAGAGGGTGGGGCTGGAGGTGACAGGAATCGGGCGAAAGGGAGTCTACATGTGGGGCAGTGCTGGCCAGCAGGGCTGAGCACACCTCAGGGCCCTGCTGCAGAGCAAAGGCGTGCATCAGATACTGAGTGGGGCAGCAGCTGGGCGGACCCTGTCCTTGACCCGACCTCAGGAGGACAGGTGGGACCAGCTGGGCAGCATAGCCGGCACCTGTCCAGCATGGCCCGACATTGCTCCCTGTGACCCAAGTTAAGCTTAGGATCCCACTGCACCAATGGGGGTCTGCCGGGCGTGGCTGTCGGGTCTGACCCCTTGGCTCCTGGCCCCGCAGAGGAGCTGGTCTTTCCCCACGTGCCACGGCGGGTTCTGGAGGCTAAGGAGGTTCTCGGGGGATGAGGCAGGTGTCGCGAGGCCACTGCTGCTGCTGGTGGTGTCCTTCTGTCCAGTGATCCCTACGTGAGGGCTGTTGACCCAGAGTTCCTCGCTGAATGGCCCGAGAAAGGTGTGCAGCCCATATCAGTGCTGCTGGCTCTGCCCAGCCGCCTGTGTCCCCTCCCGTTTCCCATCCTTTTCTTTCTCTACCCTTCCCACTGTTATAGAACCTTCCCGTACACATGCACACACTTAGCCACTCAGTCACACACAGCCTTCCACACGTGCCCCTGGGCTCCCCTCCTCAGCCACTCAGGGCCTCCTGGGCCTCCTACAAAGGGCAGTGTTAGGGGACAGCCTGGGGCTTGCTTTGGGGCTATGAGGATCTGCCCCTCTGTCCTTCGGGATGAGAAGGGCCTTTGGAAACCTGCCAGCCCTTTCCAGCGGAGCCTCAGAGGCCCAGGGAAGGGGAAGCACACGGGGGTCAGGCTGGAGTGACCTCTCCTCATGGGGACGGACTCTTGCACAGCCGGCCACTCGGAGCGCCTGTCCTTGCACTGCGCCTCGCTGAGCAGTTGGACCCGTCAGGAGCCTAGCACGTCTGGGTACGAACCCCGTCAGTGGTGTAACATTACGCAGGCCACTGTCCCTGTCTGGAACCTCTCAGAGTGGAGAGGAGAACCCCAAGTGGGGATCTCCTTAGAGAGTTAAAATATCTGAAAATGCATATTTTGGTGGACTTCCAAAGTTACATTTAACCAACTGCTACTGTAACAAAACAGAATGCTGTGGCCACCCTGTGTTTATCAGGTTATTAAAACCTCTGCTCTGGCGGTGGCTGGAGGGTGGTGCTGAAGCCTCAGGCCGAAGGGTCTCCCTTCATCTGGGACAGCCTCTGTGGTGGCGGGTGACCTCATTTGCAGGTAATGAGTACCAAGCTGATGTAAGGCCTTTTGCCGATGTGAGGCCCAGGCCACGTGGCCTCGTCCTTCTCGCAGCTTTCTTCCATTCTCAGCATGAGCCAGAGCTCCCGTCCACTCTGGACCCTTACGGAGATTCATTGCAACAAGGCTCCCCAAAGCCCTTAGAAAAGAAAGGACAGCTACGTTTGACGTTATTAAACTGTTATGCATTACGATAAAAGGGCGAGTCTCACCCAGGAGGGTTATTTAGGACACATGCAACCAATCAGGATTAGCAAAGTGTATCAAGAACGTTTACAAACCCCTGAGTAAAGCTCAGTTTAATAGGGAAGACTCGCACTGGTCTTTGAAGTGACAACACACGGCTGATAACCACGTGGAGGGACGTGCAGTCATTGAGGGTGGTGGAACAGTACCAGTCCCACGAGCTCAGAGTGCGACGTGGAGCAGCAGCGGCCTCCTGGCTGGCGGGGGGTGCTCAGTACAACCGCTCTGGGAAGGGTTTGTCGTTTTCTTATAAAGAGGGACTTTCACACACCCCGTGCCCAGCAATTCTCCTCCCGTGTATCCCCTCAGATCAATGTCCACGTGTGCACCTGGACAAGAAAGGTCATGGTTACATTGCTTATAGAACCCCACCCTGGAAGCCATCCAACCCTGGAAGCCGTTAACAGGAGAAACAGCATTGTCTGCACCGAAATGGGTGGGTTACGGCTCTGTCCAACCATGTGCATGGATCTGGGCTGGGTACTCTTGAGTAGACCATCATTAAAGGTTGGGAGCCAGCAAGTGGCATGGTGGTTAAGGCACTGGATTGCCATATGGCCAACCAGGATTTGAGTCCCTGGCAGCTTGAAAATCGTGCCGGGTGTATTTGTGTTAATGCCCAAAATCCAGGAGGAGAATGGAGGAGACCAGACTGCAGCATGGCCATCCCCCCAGGGGAATTTCTCACTTTACCTCTCATTGTCTCTCTCTGTTTCTCTCCAGTGAGTGCACATGCCATATGGCAAGTACATGTGTGTATGTGTGTGTGTGTGTATAAATTAAAGGCAATTTCTTAGCATCAACTAATAGAAAATAACACATCATCATGTCCTGCTAAGAATGTATAGAACACACACACACACATACACACCCAAAGTCATGATTAAATATGAGATTTGCCGTGTAGGTGTGGCAGGTGGCGGCCAAACAACAGAAGAAGCGAGGTGCTCCGTGGGTGTAAGTCAGGGTGGCCATAAGGCTTAGATTTCCAGGTTTTTAGATTTTTCATTTATTACAGTAAATAATACATGAGTTAATTTAAAAAGAGGCCCATGCCTGGATAGATGGATGGGTGTCCCAAAGCAAGACTTGTGATTAATCCCATCTCGGGCCTCTACCCTCTCTTTCAAATGAATGAGTCCAGACAGAATGAGGCCCTCCACACAGGCCAGCCTCTCTGCTCCCGCGGCTCTGTGTGCCTGCCTTGCCCTGATGCCCCCATGCCTCGGGAAGGTTAAGACACACTAGTAAAGCCTTCTGAGAATGCTAGGTGGGTCAGCAACAGGATGCCCCTGGTCCTACTGTCCACGCCTCGACCACGGGTGGTACCTGAGAAGTCATTCCCTCTGCCGACGTCCAGATCCTGCCCACAAATACAACAAAGTTTCAAAGAAAATCAGTAACGATGCAAGGAGAGATTCCCTGTTAATGCCGGGCTTCATGATCCAGAATCTGATCGTTTTCAGCTCATAGGACGTGCTTTTATGATGCATTCATTTTCTAAACCCAAGGCGGCTTCAGGGCCACAGATCCCCATCTTACATTTGGATTTCTAAGAAGAAACGCTGACTGCTGGTGCTAGACAAATGTTAAGGGTTTTATAACTAGTGTCATAAAAGCAAGTTTATAGTATCGTCAGAAAATGAAGTGCGCTGCGTTTTTTACTGGAAGAAAAGCTCAGATTCACTCAGATGTTTCTTCCTGTGCCTGTTTGGCAGGTTCCTGGGCTTGAGCATTTGTTGGGAAGTCTTGCTGTCCACTCCCCTCCGGAGTGGCCCATCCACCTCCTGCCCCTGGGCTGTGGCTTCAGGGACCTTGTGAATCGCTGGGTCTGCATGAGGACCCCTCAAATCCGGTAGCCATGGGAAAAGTCTGGCCAGCAGAGAGTTACAGACTTTAGTTTAATATTCAGAGGCATCAGCTTCTCCTAATTCCCAGCCACACTGCATCTGGGCAGTGCTGAGAGCCACCCCGAGGGTCTTCGGGAACACCTTCAGCAAGGAAGGACGGCCACGCTTCTCATTTCCAGTTGCTCTTGCAAACTCCAGCTCCGTCTCAGGGCACTCTGCAGTGGAGCAATGTCTAATTGCTCCAGAAGTCAAGGAGGTTGCTGGAGAGGGCAACCTTCAAAAGCTATTATTTTTTTCCTTGGACGTGTTGCTGCTCTTAATGACGCGAGATCAGTTTAGGTGGAGACTTGCTTAGCAGGAGGTGAGCCCTGTTCCACAGTTCAGAACTGGGAAGGGGCTATGTCCTGGTTTCCCTGGCACTGGGACCCCTTCAGGCCCGTGGACACTCAGATGAGGACAAGGTGAAGAGAACATATAAGAACTGAAGGAGAGAGAACTTTTATTTATTAAGAGACAACACACAATTTTTAATTAAATTATTTTATTTATTCATTTTACATTTGGAAAGTTTGCCCTTGATCCCTGTATGTCGTTGCAGTGCATGTCACTTTTACAATATACCTGCTTGAACAAAGTCTTAGTAGATACTGGTCGGTCCTGAACGCATCCTCCGCTGTCTGATTAGGTTGAGGACGTGGCTCCTGTGGTCAGCCTGTGCTTCCCTTCTTACACTGGGTAATGGAACGGATGAGGGAAATCGCTCTGTGGTTCCCTTCAGGCTTGTCTCTTGGGGAGGAGGAGGGCTTCCTGGTCCGGAGAGAAGAGTCACAGGAGAGAAAGGAGGGCACCTTCTTTCTCCTCAGCCACATGTACCCATCAGGCCTGAAGAATGAGGAGGTCGAGGGCTGGTAGACTCTGGCTCATGCTCACGTCTGGCCCCCAGCTTGTTTTTGTAAATAAAGACTCACTGAACACGGCTTGCCCGTTCATTCACACTCAACTCACAGCCGTTTCCCTGCAACTTCAGAGCCGAGCAGCTGCGGCAGAGACCTGATGGCCCACCAAGTGGCAAACATGTCCTGAAACAGCTGCAGAGCCTGGCCCAGATCAGCAGGGCACAGCAGGGCACTGCCCTAGCCGCACAGCCTCTGTAGCTCCCGGGCACCTCTGGTCGTCATCCCCCAGCCTTGCACCGTCTGATTGCGTGTAGACGCATCTGGTCGTTAGCACGTGCTCTGCGTCTGCACCATCTGCCTTTTGTCTTTCGCAGGCCTAGCCAGTGGCCGAGAAGCCCCTCCTTCCCCACACTGGCCCAGCTTTCCTGGGCCTGGTCCTCCCTCCCTGATCCGGCGAGCACCTCTGTGCCAGGCACCATGCCGGGTGATTTGCATGCTATTGCTTTCATCCTGAGCAGACTTCTTGGTTGTTATTATCTCTATAATGGAGAAGCTGGACCTGAGTCTCAGCGAGATCAAGTCACTTGTCCAGGGTCACAGGCAAGAGCACACTACTCAGGGCCATCAAAAACCCGAACCAGCGCTCCTCTCCCCCGGGCGTCATGACCGCGTCTACCTCAGTGCGTTTCTACCCCTGTGGTCTTTTGTTTTAGTAGTACGTACGCACACGTGTGAGACAGAGAGACAGAGACAGAGAGAGAGCAGCGCCCTTGACAGCGTCTCGTCACGCAGCAGCGCCTCTCCCCAGCCCTCTGGCTCCATGCACGCCCGGCCTGGTTGGGGCCACCCAGGGAGCTGACCCTGCAGTGGGCCGTGTGGTTCCAGCCCTACGGGACACTGTGACCGCTGCACCACAGTGGCCCGGCCCCTGGCGGTTTTATTTCCCTTCTTCTTTGACACCATAGACGCAAGATATATTCCTGGCTCCATTTTTAACAGCCTCGCCCGACTGCTACGTGTCATAGCAGAGGTTATTTAAGTCTGTGACTTTATCTTTTGATTTCTAGACTATTAAAAATATCAATTAGAGAAACACTGAGATGCAGAATCGAGCTGGCAAGTGGTTCAAATTTATATGATAATAACTTTGTCACATGAAGTCAGACTTTAATGTTGCTGGTGGGATTTTTTTTTCCTTCAGCTTGATCAACTCCTCAAGTAACAGCCAACATAACCCAATTTCTGTGCAGTGCAACAGCTGACCCGGGCCGCCAGCTGATTAAGCCTTTCCATAAATCAGACCTAATATTTAATAACATTGTCATATAGAATGCAGTCTTAATAGTTTAAATGTCAATCTTCACAGCTCAGTGAGCTCTTTGAATAAATAGACAAGGAGCTCGTTTCAGACCCTGTGGCTGGAGATAGTATTTTTCAGAGGGAAGTAGCTTTTGAGGCCAGCAGTCTTACAGAAGGTGGTTTTCTCCACTCAGTAAATATCGCTGAGGTCATAAAGTGTGAATGCAAATGCAGGGAGAAATCCGGCCAGCAGCCCTTCATCTCCCCGCTGTCCACGCTGCCGGGCACCGGGTTGCTTGTGGGCATTGCTCTCAGGGCCCACGTTTGCACCTTCCCTTTCCTGAGTGCTCTGTGACGAGGGCCGCTGTCCTTCACACTGTCCCTGCCAAGTGTCAGGGCCATGCGCGGGCCCTGGCTGGATTGCAGCCTCCCATGGAGGGCTTGGGGACGTTGGTACCCACAGCTGGAAGGAGTGTGGGAGGAAGGTGGCCTGTCATGGCTGCGGGAGCTCCTGCTGACGGCGGAGAGGCGCGTTTGGGCAACACAGGCCCGAGTCAAAGATCAGAGGGTTTGGCCAAGATGTGAAGGATGCAGACCTGGTCCCCCAGAGAAGGGCCTAGCAGGACAAGGCAGGCCTGTGCAGTGGGGAGCCACAGAACGGCTTTCGGGGCAGTGAAGGGTCCCGGCATCCCTTGAGACACGCTTCCAGCTCTAGGCAGTTGGGGCTCTACGAACCACCTTCTTCTCAGCCGTTCCCTTTGGATGGATGTACCTCTTATTTTTTGCTCAAAAGGCATTGTATCTATTTTGCACATTAGATGGTGTGCTTCCTTTCATGATGCATTTATGAATTTATTCATCCATTTAGGAAATGTCGTGTGAGTAAGCTCTTTCCTAGGAGTTAGGAGAGATGAATTTAAATGCTGCTTTCAGCCTAACCTAATCTGTGGCTTTGATCAAGTGAGTTCACCTTCTTGGACTATTTCTGGGATTTGAGAAAAGCTCGCCCTGTTTACTTGTGAGTTTACCGATGCACAGAGTCTGGGGCATGCAGCGTGGATTGGGGCCCAGGGCCAGCCCTCGTGTCGGCGAGCTGTCTTAGCCTCACTGTCTATTAGGGGAAAAGCTGAAAAAGAAAGACCAACAGCACTTAGCCTTTCTATGAGGGTTAACTGACATCAGTAAAATGCACATATGTGATCCGTTTCGTGAGACAGTACACAGCTGCGTGATCACGACCCCACACCAGATACAGCACAGAACGTTTCCGTCCCCTACCCCCATGGCACGTACGGGTTTCTAGCTCATACCCTTCATATAACATATATATACATATATGATATGCATGTGTGGTTCCTGTCACCCAGCAAAACGTCTGGGAACTTTACTCACGAAGTATTTTGCTTTCGCTTTCTTGCTTTGGGTCGTACCGTTGTGTGAATAGACCTCGTCTGCCCACTCTCCAGCTCATTTATCAGGTGTTGAGATGGCCCAGTAGGCTTTGCTTGCTGCTCATTTAGGGCTGTTACAAGTAAGACACTAGAAACGTTCTTCCAGAAGCCTTTTGTGAAGGTACGTTTTCATCCACGTTTTGTGAATTGGAGAGGGTGGGATTCCCGGCTCACGGTCGGTGTGTGTTTACCGCTGCAGGAAGTGGCCTAACCACCTCCAGTGGGGTCAGCACGACTTGGACACTTGCACGTTTTGGTCACTGGACACCCTCATGGACACTGGCGCTGCCGGGCTTTCTGGCTAGCTAAACGGTAGCCAGTTTGGTACTTCCTGGCTAAACTGTAGTCGATTCAGAGGACGTGAGCGATGTCCGTTGTTTTCATCTGTGTCCCTCGGCGACTGGCAAGGTGGGGCTCCTTTCCATGTTTTCGTGTGTGTTGGCTGTCTACATACCTTCTTTCATCAATGTGTGTGCGCATGTCTTTTGTTAATTTCTCCTGGGCTCTTCATCTTTTGTTGTTGATTTATATGAATTTTTATATATTCTACATTTAAGTCTTGATCAAATATAAGAACTACAAATGCAGTTTTTAGTCTGTAACTTGCCCATTTATTCTCCTAATGGTGTTTTTGAGACGTTGATATTTTAATTCTGATAAAATGTTTTTTCTTTTATGGTTAATGCTTTTTGTGTCCTGTCTAAATACATTTTGCCTCCTCCAGAGGTGTAAGTTTTTTTCCGGAAGTTCCACATTCAGTTTTATGTAGCTTCTCAGTATTTGTATATGCCGTGAGGAAGTGACTCAGGTTCACCTTTCTCCCTGCTTCTTGTCCATTGACGGAGCATCGTTAGTTAAAAAGACCTGCACTTACCCAACCCGTGGACCAGGAGCCTTGGTGGACAAGGGACTGTCACTGCGTGGGCTGGCGCACCTCCACATTCTCTGTGACGTTCTACTGATCTGTGTGTCTGTGTTTATGCAGACATAGAAACGTCCTGATCACTGTAGTTGCACAATAATTCCCTAAAGCAGATTCTGTAAATCCTCTAATTTTGTCCTTTTTCTTTTTAACAAGATTGGGCAATTCTGGCTCCTCCGTATTTCCATTTGAACTTTAGAATCGTGTCTGTTTCTTTAAAAGAGCCTGTTGAAATTTTAATAGCCATTACATTTAGTACATGGATAATTTGGGGGCAAATTTATCTCTCTATAACACTGAGTCGTCCAATCTAAGACCATGATTTTTTCCATTTAAGAAAACAAGTTTTGGGCCAGCCCATAGTAGTGGTTAAGACAGGGCATCCCACATGGCTGACAGCATAGTTCAAGTCCCAGGTCCTGTGGCTTAAAGAACATGTCATATACATGTGTGTGCATGCCTAACATTCCAAATGGAGAATGGAAGAGAAAAGATTGCAGTGTGACCATCCCCCATGGGAGATGCCCTCTCACTTTCTCTCTCTCTCTCTCTCTCTCTCTCTCTGAGGAGCCTACCTGTACTCTAGCAAATTTAATAAAGACCAGTTTTTAGTATGTTCATCATTTGTCAAAAAATCACATTGCACCCTATAAATATGTACAAGTATACGTCAATTAAATTTTTAAAAACTTTTCAATTCATTGATTTTCAGTTTTTTACTTTATTGATTTCAACCATTTTTAGAAAAGTTTTCTTAGTTTTTATTTACTTTAGTTATAATTTGCTATTACCTCTTCTAGCTTTCTAATGTTAAAACTTAAATCATTTATTTACCCTTACTTTGTTTCCTCCTGTAAGCATTAGAGCTATATGTTTTCCTCTAAGCACTGTTTTAACTGTATTTCACGAAAATCTTTAAAAGTTTATTTTCCCCATAAGCGACAGAGAGAGAGAGAGAGAGAGCCCCGCCCCCACAGGCTCCCAGCAGTGTGACTCACCTCTGGCCTTCAGTCCTGGGCATCATGGGCCATGTGTCCGGCATACTCAGGAAGGTCTCCAGACTTGAGCTGGGCCATGGAATCGCCATGGAGAGGAATCCCCATGGAGAAGAATCCCCATGGAGAGTGTGTGTGTGTGTTGCTGTGCGATCATCCTCCTCCGGCCCCTGCATCTCATTCAGATGTATATGTGGTGTTTTCATCATTGTTCAGTTCAAAATAAGAAGTCTAAGACTTATCTTTTTTGCAGAATGTATCTATTGAGCTCTGTAGGGTGGAATATGACTGTGAAAAGACTGGGGCCACAGAGCAAGATTTATGTTGCTTGGTGAGGTAGAGGAAGCTTTAAAGATAGGTCTGTCAGGGACTTCTATTTTATGATATGCATTCCTCGATTTCTTTTCTGTTTTGAAGATAAAAGGGTGAGAGGATGAGAGCAAACTGGCAAGTAGAAAATAAAATCTACAGGAAGACAATGGAAATCAGAGACAGAAAAGACAAAACCCACTCTGACCTCTGCCACTTGTGTTGCTTCCTTCCAGGAGAAAAGTAGTGGCATTTTCACAGCTCAACCCCTGCTGTTCTTAAACTCTTCTCCCAGTTTGGGCTTCAGCCTCCTGAGTTCAGAGGCCCTGGCCGAGTGAAAGGTGCTTGCATCTTCACCTGAGTTAACTTCGCGAGCCAACCCCACTCCCAGTGCACCTACCTACCCCAAATCCTTGTCAACCTTACACATAATAAGCAGTTTTGAGAGGAAATCTTTAGTGTTTAGGTTTATAATTTACATGCAATATGTTGTCACTTAAAAGGTTTAAAATATTCCAGAAAATAAAAAATAGAAATTATCAGAAGAAAATCAAGTGTCTTTTTCTCCAGAACCTAACTATGGCTCCAAGAATTCTTCACTATTTGTCTAGTCTTTTTTGAATGTCTATAAAAGTTTTATATAATTATGATTAGGAGAGAAAATATGTTTTATTCTGCATTTTTCTAGTACTATTGCAAAACTTAATAAAAATAATTTTGTGGCTAATTAATATTTCATCGAATAGATATAAACTAATTTATTTAAACATTCCCTTCTTGACTGTATTTGAGTCCTATCTAATTCCTCAAATATAAATAACATTGTAATGAACATCTTTATGCCCAATTTTTTTCAGCTGTTTTATTTCTCTAAGTCTTATTTTCAAAAGTAATATATTATAGTATCAAAAAAGAAAAAAACATTTAAAGATCTTGACAAAATATTACTGAGCATTTCCAAAAGCAGAGTTTTGAATGAATTATTTTCTTATTTGAAAGCTCATAAAATATTAAGCTTTTAAATTATTTCCCAGTCAGATGTTTTTGATTTATCTTTAGTTGGAGAAATATTTTTGTGAATTTGTACTCTTTCTACTCTTTCCATATCCTTTGTTCCAATATTTTTTCCATATATATATATACACGCATGTATTTATATATGTATGCATTTGTGCTTTATTTTGTTTTGTTCTATCCAGAGGCCTAGAGTGGAGCAGAAATCATTTTATTTTCAGTCCTTTTTCCCTGAGCCCACATTAGGCATTGCCATCAGAACTTGTGATTCATGAATTGTGGCAGGTTTTGGGAAATCGAATAAGGTCATGGTTAGAGATCTCCAGTTGATCAATAATCTGAAGTGATGCTCATGCAAGCCCCTCCCCCAAATACGTATTTCTGTAGTGATTCACTCTTTGGAGTATTCGGCCTTTCACTCATCCATTCATTCATTCGACTCATTTGCTAGTGCTGAGCTCAGTTAATAAAAAGTGCACATGACACTCTCCTCCTGGAGCAGTTAGAATTGATTGCAGAGATCCCAAAAAGAAAAGATTTTGTTTCCTTCCTTATTTTATCCAGTCTTCCTTTGACCGGAGCCGCGTGCCCATGTTGGGACAGTCAGGAGAGGAGAGTGACTCAGCCGTGGTGGCCGCCGTTGGAGAGGCCGGGATGGTCTCAGTCCCTCAGTGCTCAGTCCCTCCCATGCAGCAGCGCAGTTGCCCTGAGCACTGCCTGCTCATCAGTGAGGAGACGGGAGTTCCAAGAGGGCAAAGTGCTTGCTAATAATACTCAAGCTTGACTCATGGCTGGGCGTAGAGTTTGGGTTTAGGACTTTTCTCCCTCCAGCACCCTTGTCGTGACCTTGTGACACTTTGCAGACCACAAGGTGACACGTGATGAATATGGAGCCTCAGCTCCTGGCCCTGCCGCTCACCATGTTCAAATGGTTGGCGCCTGAGTCGTTTACTCCCCTCCGCACAGCCCTGTGCTCCATGGCCTGCACGCACTGCCAGGGCACCTTTCCTTTTCTTTGCCTGCCTGGCTGGTTTCCAGTTATCCTGGAGCCTTAAACAGAAGTGTTTCCTGATGGGCCTTCCCTGGGCTCCTTTTCCTCCTCATGCACTGTGTGCCCAGGGGGCAGCTTCATCCTGTGTCTCCCGTCCCGGCCCTTTGCTCCATTACAGCTGGGCTGGCCTGGGAGCTTCCTGGGGAAGAGGGGCTCCCTGTCTGTTACTCATCTGTCTGTCCGCAAGGCTGGCCTGGGACAAACGTAGGCATGGAGTTAAAGCGTGTGGGCCTTCAACCTCTTCTCTTTCAAAAACAAGCAAGATAGTGTTCAGTGAGTAAGAGATGAAAAGGGATGAAATGCGGGCAATTCTGCCACGTGCATTTTTCTTGAACATGCATGAGCAGGATTGCTGGGGTCCAGTGGCAGGGCTAGTGAGGAGGGGTGAGGAGAGGGCAGGGCAGGGGCCTCTGCCTTGGCCAGGGTGGCTGTCATTCTCACTTGAGCCAGTTACCATGCAATTGACTGAGCTGGCCCCTGTGTAACTCCTTGCTGCTCAATTCTGTTTGATGATGATTGGCTTAGGATAATACAGTCCAAAGATCAAGGAAAGCCCCCACTGTGCTCCCTTATTAAATTACTTTGCTGTGGATTTTGAGCATTGCCAAGCAAATCTTGTTATGAATTCTTCAATTACTTTCTTTTGCGATTTTTATAATTTGGTAGGGTATGCTGTGCAATCAAACCAATATCTGTGCCATCATGCTAACTTTGATTATTTTCAGACTCCTCATTAGAGAGCGTGGGAGGCTGCTGAATCCCCTGAAATCTGATTTTATTTTTCAGATTTCCTTTGCCCCCTAGTTTGCTTTGTTCCCAGATCCAATACGCTGCACCATGGTGCTGGCTGCAACGGGGCCCATGTCATTGTCCCTTTAGATTTGATGACTTAAGTTTTTGAATTTAAATTTTTGAATTTCTGAATTGAATTGTTTTGTTATTTGATTACATTAAAACCAGGAAGCCATTGTGGACGAATATAATTTTGATTTATTGCGCCAGCCAGACTCTTCACAATTTTTGTTTAGTTTATCCTTTTTATTTTATTGGTTTGATGTTTGTCTAGGAACAAAAAGGGAGAAAGTGAAGAAAGGAAAGAACCTTTATGAAGAATTTTTATGTGTGGGGTCGTGTTTACGTACTTCATCTTCACCACTGAAGGCGTTTGGTGGTATTTCCATTTTGCAAATAAGGAATGATAATCTCGAAAAAGTTAAATTGCGTGCCCAGAGATGACCTGATTCTCTGTCATCTTGAGCTTTGTTATTACTACCTGTGCTATCATTGTCATTGCCATCATCAAGAAAATCGAGCACATGTGGGTGGCAGTAGTTCCCGCTACAATGTGTTGCTCTAATAAAGAGTTGATAGTTCTCGTTATCCTCCAATGTAAGGATATAGATTTGCTGTGGGCTTTACATTTTAAAGTGTGCGTGTGTGTGTGTGTGTGTGTGTGTGTGTGTTGGGCACATATGTTGGAGAGCAGTGGGAGGTGGATTTGCTCAAGCCAAGAGGAGCAATAGGAACATCAGGCTCTGAAAAGTGCACCTCCCGAGGGTCAGAGGAAGGGCCCCACCTGGGAAAGAATATCCTCAGCAGGGAAATGGTTCTATCTCTCTCCCTGTAAATGGTTTTCTCTCTCTCTCTCTCCCTCTCCCTGTATACACACACACACACACACACACATATGTATATATACTCCTATAGGGTATGTGTGCTCACCACAGACCACAGAGAGAGAGGGAAAGTGAGAATTCACCCCAGGGTGGATGTCCACACTGCAGTCCTGTCTCCTCCAGTCTCCTCGTGGCACTTTGAGTATGCACGCACGCCCGGTGGGATTTTCTAGCCGCTGGGTCTAAGACTGCTCAGTCGGCAGCAGGGACCAGCACCTCGACCTCCATGCCACCTGTTGGTGCCGTGTTATTTCCACCTTCGGACTCTCCCATGGAAGAGGACTTGGACCTGTTCCGCGCAGCCCAGACCTCAGTTAGTTCCATGGGGTCGTGACATGGAGGATTTTCTGATAGGAGAGGTAATGTCAGTGCCTTTGGCTGTCCAACCAGCTCCCATCAGGTTGGACCTGTAGGTCTGCGGTGTGACCTGGGTACTCTGCCAGCCCCTTCCAGGCTCCTTTGCTGTGAACTTTATGAGACTTTGGAGTTGACAGAGCTGTAAATCCTGACAGGTAGAGCCAGAGGCGGTTCCGCTGTGGGGATGGGAGTCCATCTGCATCTTCTCTGTCAGGCTGCACCCTCCTCTGTGCCCCCAAGTGCTGCGAGCCTGCTGTGAGCCCATCTCTCCGGGCTGGCATTCGGCAAAGGCCGTGCAGGAGTACTTGGCTGCAGATGGGTTAGAAAACCCCCGGATGTTCCCCACGTGAAGGGACCGTCTTTCCTGCTAACCGCGATCACATGTGCAGTCGTGCTGCTCCTCCCTGCGCCGCAGTTGCCTGTGTCCTGACAACCCTTATGGCCACCACAACTTTGGGAAGTCACTTCAGACGGCCGGACCACTCTGCCTCCGGTGCAGTTTCAAGGTCTCACTTGAACTTTGTCTCAACCAAGTGAAATGCGCATTTGAAGCAGCGGAACGCGTGAATAGAATACAGGATCTGCGTCAGCGAGAGTGGGACTGGGTTTTGCATCCATCTTTCACTAGCGATGAGATCTCGGGCAGTGAACTGACTCCTGATAACTAGGGATG